ATTTATTTATTTAGTTGTTTGATGCATCCATATAGGACACGCCAAAACACTTATATGAAATCAGCAGAGCACTAGGCAAGTATAAGAACTAAGGAAAAAAATCAAATCAACTCAACCAAATTTGAGGAACTGAAAGGAAATCGGTTGAATGAGTGGCACGCTGAGCAGGAGCACCCTTAAGAAAGAACCACAGAGATATCCCCACAGGACATACCATCTAAGAGGTTCACTGCTGTGGTATCCTGCAATCTTACCTTGCATCCTTTACAAGTGGACCATGGGTGAAAGAGATGAGAAAGTCCCAACGAATTTCTGCTTTTTCGTGGATTTTTATCACAGCGTCTAATCGTGAGTTCATAGGCACTGATTCGTAATGCATTATATATGTAACAAGCTTGGCTGACGCGCACTACTGCGCGTATGGTTGAACCTATGGTAATGGTACTGCGCTGACAGGATTCCTGTATTGACCCCGAACACTTCGCCCGATTACAATTTTTTAGAATACGGCCTATTTCATTATGATTCTCCTATTTAATGAACGTTTGCTAATGTCTGGTGCTTATCACATTTCTAAGAAACACTCACCATCCGTTGGAAATAGGACACATTAGCGGTTGAAAGACTTTTGATGGTAATAACATCGATATCATGGTGATATATCCTCACATTTCTCACATCCTAGTACTTCCGTTGAGCAGCTTCCAGGGCTTTTAATTTTCGTCGAAACTCGAGAGCTTAGCGGTCATAACCATATCGCTAAGGATTGATACTCGACTCACCGCAGACCTCTAAACCATTGTTTCCTTGGGCCCCGGTGCTGAAGTTTGGATCATTGGTGGGTGCAGGACATTGATAACAGCTGATAAGCTGTTATCACGTCCTGCCACCCACCAATAATGTTCCCATCCTGCCCCCTATCTAACTTCTTGGAACCCACATCCCGTCGTCGCTGTGGTCCGCGCTATGGAGCTGGTGACCCTTCCTTTTTAAGGCCCCTTGTGGTATCTTATCAGCTGTTATCACTTCCTGTCACCCACCAATAATGTTCCCATCCTGCCCCTATCTAACTTCTTGAAATCAACGTATCATCGCTGCTGTGGCCGGTGTTATGAATTAGGATAGCTCACTCTTTTCAAGGCCCCTTGTGGTATCTTATCAGCTCTTATCACTTCCTGCCACCCAGCAATAATGTTCCCGTCCTGCCTCCTACCTTACTTCTTGGAACCAACGCTCTAGTCTTGCTGTGACGCGCGTTATGAATTTGCTGACTTCGCCTTTATACGGCCCCTTATGGTATCTTATCAACTGCTATCGCTTCCTGCCCCCAACCAATAATCGTTCCTGCCGACTCCTACAACATCTATCAGTTTGAGCGCATTATCGTTGTTTTGAAGAAAGTTATGAATTTCCGGTCAAACGCACACAGACATTCACACACACACACACACACACACACACACACACACACACACACACACACACACACACACACACACACACACACACACACACACACACACCAACAGACAAACTTAGCGGATTATATATAGTAGGATTAATTGAAAATAAATGGCCCACGATATTGTCGTGAAGCTCCTCAAATCAATTATTAGGGGCAGTCACACTAATTCTCTTTGGCCGGTCGCTGGTTGTACTAGTAAGGGAGGGAGCCCTAATACGCGAAAACCATTCCATACGTATTCTATGCTCGTTTAGCAGTACTGTTCCTAGAAAGATCAGCCTAATAATTTTTCTCTCCAAATTTAGTTTCGATTACGTGACCTTTGGCACACCTACAAGTTAAATGGAATGAGCCCTTTTCGGCGCTCTTTAGACTCGACAAAAGCGATCACTCAGGGAATAACCGACATATAAGATGCTATCTAGTGCGTAAAGTGAAATGTAATAACAAGGATGTCGGTAGAGCTCAAACTCTATAGCGAACGGCGCGTTACCAGAAAAGAAACAGTCATGGCGAATTCTGCCCTACTGCTATGCTGAAAGGAAAATCAGAAAAAAGTTTCATTCAGTATTGCTCATTTTCCATGAGGCTAGAAACTATTTGCTAAAGTATGGCTGACGGTCCGTAGTATACGACCCGTCTTCAAACTAGTCTCATTTGGTAAAAGAACCAGCCTGAAAGGGGGCTGTGACAATGCTTTCAACTGCTTCAATTGTTCTCTTTTTCTTGTCAACACCCTTGCATTAGCAACATTCAAGCCTGACTGTTTTGACTCCTCCCGCATTCGGACTTCTGTTTTAGGGAATTATGGTTGCTGCTCTCGTTGTCAACGGAATTAATTTAAACTGCTTGGAAAGGAATCATGGGAAGCTTATACTCGAAGGAGATGAGAACTGCCATTCTTCCTCCAGAGTTGTGAAGGCTCTAATTCTTGAAGGAAAAGGTCATCATCGTCATGTCTACCTGGTGTCTACCTTAGGATGGCAAGCTAGTGTCTAATGATACTCTGTCTATTTAGATACTCTGAGGATAGTACACGCTTTTGTTACAGTAGCGCAAGGCGTTTGCTTTGAATGTTGAGTCATCGAAGGAAAGAATGTCTACTGTTACCTGTTTCCTGAAGACAATTCCTGCGATCAAGTATTACGGGTGGTAGGCGCTCAGTCATGGACCATAGCCCATGGAGGACTCCCCAGTGAAGAAAGAAGCGAAAAAACTTTGAGTTCATCTTGAACAGGGACCTTCCTCTCATAGCAGTGAGGCCGACGCCTTGGACGAGTTTTTCGGACGTCAGACAAGCCCAGTCAGCAGGATTTGACCTGCAACCATTTCCGGCAAAAGCATAAGAAATGGGCCTAGGATGTTCCAGACAACGCTGTTTACACAAGCAATTCCGCTTGTGAGCCAATGTCTTACAGAGTGGAAGTAACCGTGTGGAGTGGAAGTTGCAATGGTTGCAATACTCACGCTCTAGCTCCTTTTATTTTTTTTTTTGTTTTTTTGTTTTTTTTTTTTTTGTTATTAATTTTTTTTTTTTTTTTTTCTTTTTACTTTATATCGCCTTTGAGTGAAGAAAAGTAGACATTCACTCTGCGAATGGCGGACTCGATGCAAATGCCACGAAGCATTCCGCGGCCCTTGATCGCGAAACTGTCCTTGAACATTTTATTCGGATGAGGAACGTTAACAAACGTTTTTGGTAATTGTTCTGTTACTAATCAGGCCTGCCGCTTAATGATCTTTGTGGGACCATCTAGTGACACAAGGAGGGTTCAATTCCCTTCACACAGGAATAAAATCTTTGGCTGGAACCCATCAAACTGCTCCCAGAGATTCAGCAAGACGTTCAGCAACGTGAAAACTCCACCAAGTGTGTTTACTGAGTAATCGGCGTTGGATTTGGTGTGAGTCCGTGACTGCATGCGATATTGCATTTTATCTTACGCCTAAATACATGTGAGTCGGTTGTCCCCTACTGAATGATCGTTTCGTTCTGATTTGAAGTTGCCTACCTATTACAGTTGGTTCAAACATGCCTAATTTCTCTGTTCACTGAGGTAATTATGACCAATATTGGTAGAGGTGACCTATGAAACATTGAAAAATAAGCAGATAAAGAGATTTTTGCAGGTCTCCGTTTCGATTATTGAAAAATCCAACTGACGGATTATCGGGATTGTTTTTTTCTCTTCCGTGCCTGATCATTGTATATCGAGCGAATTTGGCATCATAGCGGTCCACCTTGTACCCAGCCATTATCACTCTGAAGTATCGTACAAAGTGATGCCAAAAGAATTAGATTTATTAGTTCACCTGGTCTGTATTAACAGTGCAGCTCGTACCTTTTGTACATGTCGTCGTCGTCTTCACCACCCCCTCCCAATTATGTTTGAAAACCGTTGCTCCTTTCAAACTGATCAGTGGTAAATATAGAACTTGTACCGAACATTCCTTCATAGATGAGCCTTCAAAAGTCATTGATGGTTACAAAGTCACAAATAGTAGTGTGTTGTCATCCTAGTAGACTTGATCAAAAATAAATGTGTAGCATTAAGAGGCAAAGTGAGACTGCTTGATCGTACTGATAATTGAACTTGTTCATCGCTACCGCCAAATGTCGTGGGTTTTTCGTGGGACAGGTATGTAAATTCCGATCGTCTTCAGGTAGCAGATCCACGTCATGGAACACAGTACAATTCCCGTTGTACACTTGTCTAGCTTCCAGCATATCCAGCATTTAGGGCAACTGCATACAAATCAGCGCATAACTGCAAAATATATTCGATACAAAATAAAAATTTTGCGCTGTTAATGGAGTATCGCTAGCAGTGTCTGTGAAGTGGTTCGGTTCGAAGCAGAGACGGCGTAAGCTTGAATGCATACGACAGAGCAGTTCTCCCGTTCCCGAAGCCCCCAAAAGTACGGAAGTGCCGCTACGATTGTAAGTATGTGGTGCTCCTTTTCGCACCGTAATAATTAGTTCGCCGTGAATGGAGAAGTCCGTTAAAATTATATATATGTATGGCGGGCAAGTTAACCGCACATTACTTAACACCTCGAATAATCATCACAGCGTTCTGTAGCAATATTCGCAGCTGGACAGGACTATTGGACAGTGTCCACTATACATAATGAACGGGCTTTTCATGAACATTTTAGGGACGGTTCAAGGTCTCCAAAAGACGCTCCGATAAAACAGCTCTCCATGCCTTCAACAATCATGCAAGTAAAGGTTGCAACATGTCATAACGACTGCATCACAGTTAACAGCCTGTTTGACCTCGAAGTTCATTTTAGCTGAAACGCCAAACTGTGCCAACCATTATCCCCATTCTTTAACGAAATCTGTTTGAAGTTGTATGCAAAATTTTTGGCTGTATGTTGATGAGTCAAGTGTTCGTTTTTGGTGCTACTTCGGCGCCAGCGAAGGGAATTCATTCTTCTCTCACAGTCAGTCTTAGCTGAAGGCTAGTAGCATGAGCTACGAAAAACTCATGTTCTTGATCAAGACACTGAGCGACTCCTACGCAAAAAGCTTCGACAAAAAGCCAAATTTCGATTGAAGTTTTCCCCACAGCTCGGGATAGTACTCTAGTGTTTCAGGTGCAGTTTGAACCCACAATCGTGAGAATCGCACCTCCTATGCTCGAAACTGCCTGTCGTGTGCTCCATAGGCGTAAGCGTCAAAATGCATCTTTTCGCATAGAGTTATTGATCATCACGAACTGCTTTATGAGTACCAGTCAAAAGTAATGTTTGTGTGAAGTAAGTGAACATCGTCCTCGCAAGTAGGTCATTCTACTAGGGAAGAGCCATCTTCTGTTGCACTAGATGAGTATCATAGAAAATACTACATCCTTTGAATGGAGAACTCACTATTATCATTTTGTAGGCTTCTCTATGAGGGGATGTTCGGCACGAGTTCGGCACTGACGTTGGATCAGTTCAAGAAAACGAACGGATTTTCGAATCGATACTGGGGATGGGGTGGTGAAGATGACGACATGTATAAGAGGTAGGAACTCTACTGGCGCTATGCTGCCTCTTCTACGCCAACGCTGGATTACGCTGTGTGCAGTTTCCGACAGCAGACAAATTTGAAATCTATTTAGATTTTGCTTTCCGTTGGCTTTCCATTGTGCCAACAAGTAACGCGTGTCACTTTCTCCGGTCAAAAGTGCACGTGAATGGTGCTGGAGGGTAGTAATAGCTGGGTGTCCGTCTCTTACCCCTCCGCCCTGCCGCCACGCACCTAAACAACGCTAAATGCGTTTCTTTCCTGCACCCTCTCACATGTGGTTGTTGTGGATGTTCTGAGTGCAAAGTTTCGTTGCGGGGTCTTAGTATCGACTTGAGCGCTGCACATTAACACGTTGACGACCGCGCGGGTTTTTACTTTTTCGGCCTCGTGGGACACGCGCGCTTTCTCGAACGCCACAAGCGCGGTACGCATACAATTCACGCGGTCCCACGAGGCGCTTTTTTGGAGATTGGATCAGAAAACCTGGTTTAGAGAGCAATTATGAAGTAAGTCAATCAGTCACTATGGAAAAAAATAGGCTGGCCAACTGCACTAGGTGCCAGAAATTTTTCTGTATTCAATGTTTTCATAAAAACACACGTCGTGCCCACTAGAATTCAGGATCTTTCATCTCATTATTTTTTATCAATATCAGTATTGTATTTGTCTGTATTTGCTAGTAAAAAGTTGAAGAGCAAACCAATCCAGTGTTGAGGAGCAAACCAATCCAAGCAAAGGGTGTTCTTTCCCCAGGAATTCTTTGCTAAACTAGTGTGTACTGAACTATTCCATGGACCACGCGTTGTACGAGTATACTAAGGACTGAACTATAGAATGAATAGGAGAAACTAAACAAAAAATCATGCACTAGTGAAAGATATGGATTTGTTGATCGTGATTCGTATTCAATGCACGCGGTCCCACGTGGCCTACAAAGCGTGCATTCAATGCGTATCACGCGGTCGTCAATGTGTTAAGGTTAGCACGTGTGTAGTATAGAAAGAGTGCTTTGGTATTTCTAACCCTCCCAGCCTCCAACTACTCCTCTCGAGCACTTCTGACCAGGAAAAGTAGCACGCAGATGCAGCTGCGGAACCGTTCAATTCGCATATGAAAAAGACTGTCTTCGGAACTGACCGTATAGTTTGTCCTTAAGAATGAACAGTTGAAAGCTCTGGTCTTCACCTGTCTGGGTCTTGATAGCGTTTTATTCTGATGCCAAGCATTTGATCCTATGATTTTTTGATATTTTCTATTGATTTTTCGTTGTTCATCATAATATTTGTTGCACATTATCATGTTGTGAAATATATACTGATGTGACGTTTTCTTAGATTTTTGAAATTACGACATGAAATGTAGAAGGAAATTTGAAATATTAAGACACAAGATCAGTCAGAGTGCCCCAAAAATTTCCGAAAATGGTGCGCCACAGTATCCGGCGCTATTCGGCTTTGGAGGAGTCTCGTATCTCGCTAGTTTCCATTATCGAATTCCTTGTTGTCTCACAAGGCTCACCTTGGTAAGGCCTGCAAACTCCAGTCGTGTGTCAACGAAGCTCCTACTATTGCAGAACTTCACAAATTCACATGAACCCGAAGGAGGCATCAGCATTGATTGAGATTAACGAGTGGAAAGCCCCCACTAAGCCAGACTGCGCCCAGTATTCTATATGTCATCATTCGAAGAACTGTCAACAGAACGATACTGTTTAGGATCGTACTTGCACGATACTGTTTAGGATCGTATTTGCTGGATATAAGGTGGAGCGGTACAACAACACCATTGCTCGTTACACGATGATCAAACACTACACGAGCCAAAATCGAATCCCATCAATCCGTCAGTTGGTGTTACATTTTTGATATTCCATGAAGGCACGTTTCTCAGCCACCTCAGGATGTGGGGGCTCCTTCCTTGGTTTTCGCGGCTAAAAAACACGTGATAATGGCGCTGTCCGCTCATGATGAAGGCAAAGTACCGCCTAGTGCCCCACTCCACACCAAACACTCATTTTCAAAGGCTCCTTCGTGGTGCGGGTTATTCCTCTGACTTTTGTAAGAAGGGGTAAGGAAAGTGAACTGATATAGTCGCTACATCGAGGAGTGAGAACTGGTCCCAAAAGTCAGATGCGGCGCGTTTTGGAGCGGAGCAAGAAGGCCATTTTCCCATCAGTGATGGCATCCTGAGATAGGTATAGCTTCAGCAAAATCCGACTTGGTTGAGCTTCAAGTGCATGGCCCCGTCAGACACTCTATCATTGCAGGGATCATCAGGGATCAGGGGTGTAGAAATTCGGCTCTACGGTGTGCCCTGTATCTCAGAAAATAGGGTCATATGAGCATTTTTTTTGATTTCTCACTAAAGCATCTCCACTCTTTTTCAGATGTCGATACAAGTTGCTAGAACATACGAAAAAGGACTGGAGAAATGACGGCTTGAACACATTGAATTACAAAGTTGTTAATATTACTTTTGAAAATCTGTTTACTCACATCGTAGTTGATTTGTTAGAGGCAACAGAAAGACCTCCTCTCGAGAAAGTATTTTGCCACTAACTATCTTCAGAATATGTGTACATGACATGCTGGTACGGGTATAATTTAAAAGGGTCTTCCTAGATAATCGTAACGCTTATATTATCATTTGCTATACTGTTTTAGCGTAACCACGCGTACTATACTGACTAGGGAAGGTCGTCAGGTCGAAGTGGCCATTTGTAATGAGATGTAGCTCACTAGACGTGGTTTTGGACGCTGATCTCGAATCTGCCTTCGAAATTTGCAGAACGATTCTCTGAACGGAGTTATGGAGCTTTTTCCACCGCGTTTACCACGCAACAGGTCGTGGGATCGGATCCCTGCTGAGCTTAACTTTTTTGCTTCTTAACGTGGCAAAAAGTGGTTGTGGCGTCACTACTACATTAGCGCTCTCCTTGACTTGCCTGAAAACAGTTTGCGTTCGCTTACTGGCGCGCTTAGTGCCTTATGATCTAGAGAATTTTTGGATGTACAGGTGCCCTTGGCGCGCAGTGCAGGCGTTTTCGCGCTGAGCGAGTGCCATATTCGTATTTATGGGGGCGAACTACGCCTAGGTAGAGGTTTCTAGCCAAATCTGGCATTTTGACCTGACTTCGAAAAGTGAAGCATCCATGGGTTAGTTCAGTTGATGTTCACACCTATTCAGCTGCAGATACATTCTCCTGCACAAAGCCTCGTCTTGCCACTTCTTACGCATTCATGTTGTTACTGCTCCAGTTTTCCTGGTATCTAAAAGCAAATTCCGTCCAAAGACAAGCAATCGACAAGAGACTGGCCCTGGAACTATTGGTGACCATCATTCGATCAACTGCTACCGCACTTTTCAAAGTTAGGTCAAAACCTCACATCTGGCTAGAAACCTGTCCCCAAGGGTTTTGCTCCCTGAACACGAATATGGCACCCATTTGGCGTTTGAGTGTTTTCTAGACTTAAAAGAGACATTCCCCACAAAATGCAAAACAAGTTCCCTTCCAGAAATTCGAACCCTTCATGGCATGCCCACGAAGCAAGACCATTACCACTACACCATGCCGCCGTTGAACGTAAGGTGCTTCCCGGCTATTCATGCGGACTGGCAACCGCGCTCGACTCTGTTTCCTTCATTTTAATTCTAACAAACCTTCATAATTCCGTTCAGAGAATCGTTCTGCAAATTTCGAAGGCAGATTCGAGATCAGCGTCCAAAACCACGTCTAGTGAGCTACATCTCATTACAAATGGCCACTTCGACCTGACGAAATTGTGAGAAAAAAAACTCAGAATCAGAATTACCTGAAGCAACCTACTTAGCCATCCAAATGTTTGGCTACATACTAGCTCTGTTGTTGTTGCCGATGTATACTTGTTCCTTTCATTTCGTTCTCCTCATCTATTCATTAGTCGCAGGTTCTCTTCATATTGTTGCATGTGATTTGTTATAAACATGGTCGTTGTATGGTCGCTTTTAAAAGCCAGGATTCTTGACATATGCGAGACGAGCGTGTCTGCAAATGTATAACTTTCATCATAACGGTGAATCTGCGTTGAAATGGAGGCTGGTGAAGTTTGTGCTGGACTCGCCCACCACAAGGCAGAGCTGCAACACGTGCCGCCACGGCCAAACGTCCGGCCGATAGTTGGGCGCGCTACTTCTTCTTAGTTGTCCCTGTCTCCGCATCTGCAACTTGTTTCTTCTCATTGTACATTGTATTGATTATTGTATGTTTTTTTGGTACCGTTGAGTTTTTCCTACCATTTACGGTAACTATCGCTGCCTCATAGCTACGGGCGTAGTTTGGCACGACTCCAGCTCGCTTTACATCAGCCATTGATGGAAATGAGCTGGCGCCGCGCCAAAAGGTATGTACGTAGGAACCATACGCCCGACGCTCTGATGACCAATGTACGTTGATAGAATATCACAGCAGGCAACAATTATATGTTTCAAAGGCTGTTGTTCGCCTTGAGTTGCACATTATGTGAGCTTCACCCTTTGAATCAACATTTTGATCATCACATCACTTCACAAATTCCCAACCTTCAAGTACGTTCACTACTTCGAAGAAGTTCGTCATACTTCCGCAAAGTGATTTTGTATTGGTAGTTTTCTAATCTTTGGCGCTTCAGCTGAGCGTTGACGACAAAGAGATTATGTTGGGGGTCCTAGCGTAGCCTTCCCTTCCTCTAACAGACGGTCAGATTCACTGACAGGCTGTCTGCTTTGACAATAGCCCGCGACTCTGACCATCTGCGCTTTTGGCCTGAGCTCTGGTTAGAGGAGGTAACGCTGCTGCCAACAAGCTCCCATTCCGCGGAGTTTCGATACCGTTTGCCTGTTACTTTCAGCTTTAGCGCTGTTGTTAAGGATATGGTTTGTAGGCAGCAACTCCCCGTGCGACGACAAAGGTATGTGACGATGGGGTCGCTCACCACGGGGGTGCCGAATTTTGCATTGCCCACACTCCATCCACTTGAGCACACGCTCACAACAGCTCATCACGTCTCTCCATTGCAAAATATTTTCGTCGTGAAA